GAATTACTGCATATAATTCTGCACGATTATTAGTTTGTAAATCTTCAGGTAAAGGTTCGGTGATTTTTTTAGTTCCATCTTCATAATAAACTCCAATACTGGCATATGATCCTTTTTGATTGTTTTTATGAGAACCATCTGTATAGATAACTATTTTATTATTAGAATTTAATTTTTTTTTTTTTCTTTTAATTCTTGATTGGTATCTTTCAAATTCTTCATTAGCTTCTTCTATTGTTGAAAATTTTTTATAATACGATGATGTAAAATTGTTTACTTGTTCATCACATTCCTCTAAAGTATTATAAATACCGGGAGTACAACCAATTAAAACAACATAAAAATATTTTAAAGGTATTCTGAAGAATGAAAAAAGCACGTGAGCAATCATTCAGAGATAAAATAAAGAGGGTAAAGTAAAAGTTAGTATAACAAGCGAAATTAAATTTCAGACATATATACGAGTTGGGATCCTCCTCTTATCTGAATAAAACTTCAAAAGAGAATTGTGTAAAGAAAAGTCTAATCGGTTTTGAACTGATTAGAAGGTCGTTTATTGAAAGAAATCATAATAAATGTGAAATATAATAGTGTGAAACAGAAAAAAAGCTTTTGCAACTCGACTAAACAAGAAGATAGGTTTGAACCGATCTCGATTTCAAAAACCATTTTTTAGTTTCTTAGGAAAATAGTAGAGTTTATATATATTTTAGAATAAATTATGGGATTTCTAAGAAAGCGTTGTAGTCTTGGCATATGAACAAATTTGTAAAATATTTTTCACATTGCTTACAAAGATTTACTTTGTATATTAAATAAAAATTGCTACTGGTTGGTTTTGTTAAAGCGTCCAAAAGCGATTGACATTTTGATAGTGTGTTCTGGTAAAAAGTGTAAACGTATTTTTCACAATATGTAAACAAAGAACATGCTTCACATGTAGTTTTTCCATATGTTAAATATGTTTGGGAATCAATAAATAGTAAAATCTTTGTGATATTTGATAATTGACTTAGTTCAATATGTAATTTATTATCATTGGGTATATTATTAAAAAAATATGATCATAATTTATGTCTCTGAATCCTATCATCGATCTTAACGTCGATCCAAATAGTCTTGGGACAATATCGTACATTTCATTCGTACTTTTTGATAGAGTGAAGAGTGATATGTTTTGGTACAAGATAATACTTGGTCGTATGAAGTTTAAAATAATATTTGTAAAAACAACAGAATGTGCGACATACTTAAGTTTTCGAAAATCACCATTTTCCAGATTATTGAGCTTGAGTTTGAAAGGAGCTAAGAAAAAATATATTATATGTAATATATCATCAGGTAAAGAGACGAATCTCTGATTGTTTTTGGTTTTAATTTTCTTTTTAAAATACAGATCAAGTTTTTGTCGATTAATTTTTCTTTTCTCATTATGATCGTATTTAATAAAAATATAATCCTTTTTTTGTTCTATGATAAATCAACGAAATAATTTTCCGTTCAGTAATATACTGAACAGAATTTGTTCTAACTCAAATATTTATTTATATTCTAGATCTTGATTTGATGATAGAATACCTTCTCTACAATTAATACAATTATTTATATAATAACATATAAAATTTTCAACATCAATTACAGGTGTCACTTTTTCTAATTTTCTTTTGGATTCAGATATATCGTCTCTGTAAAAATCGTAAAGGCACATGGCACAATATGTAAAATCTCCACAAACATCACATTTTT